ACATTTTTTTTTTTTTTACGTTTGTGCTGACAGACGAATTTTGTCTTCACCTTGTATCTATCAGGGTCGGAGAACATAAGATGAGAAAATATCGACACAGCACTTTGACTAATGAACTAAATTATTTCAATTAACTTCTTGATTATTGATTTTAGGGCATGTTACCATTAGAAGCCAAACTAATTTAAAAGCTTCGCGTAACAGCATTTTTTTTTTTGGGGGGGGGGGGGATATTGATTTATCAAACTTCGCGTTTTTTCGCCTGATCTTAAAGTTGCGAGCAAACAGAATATCAAGCCCTGCCTACAAGGACTCTTGGAAAAGTGACGCCGTTGTTTCAAACAAGTATACTCACTATCTCGGCAGCGTGTCCTTCCCGATGACATAAGTGACGACGTGACCTAAAAGACTACGCTATTCTTTCAAGAATAATTGTAAGCAGGAATTGAAGCACTCGTTTTGCGCGCCAGTTTTAACTCGGGAGAAAAAGATCGAAAGGGATTTATTAACAACTATAAAACCAGCATCATTTCTTTAACATTGCAATTCCAGCATGACCATTGAAAACATTAATTAAAAGTTTTTACACTTTTTTTTGTTGTTAATTATTCAACTTAGAGTAGCGTTTATCCCCTCACCTAATGTCCACCGAGCTTGATAAACTCGTGGTGAAGACGGCACAAGCTTATCACTCAACACCTTTTTTATATTATTTTTTTTTTATTTTTTAATGTTCGAATTAAAGTCATACATCCTCTTTTAATTGCACCAAATAAGGGCATGAAAACAACGCCTTCATTTCATATACTTCAAAGCAAAATGAGCCTCAATATCGCAAAAATGTTGTGAGTTGGGCGAGTTGGTATGACGACATAGTGAACAGAACAGCGCACAAAAAGACAAGGACAGAGAGAAGGAACATGCAGCGCTTGTGTGTTGTACATGTTCCTTCTCCCAGTCCTTGTATTTTTGTGCGCTGTTCTGTTCACTACGTCAATATCGCAAACGCTGTAAGTCTCTCAGGACGCCTAACACCCGATCTTGTCATGTTCGTTCATTTCTAATGTATCAAGGTCAACTTAAATTATCAAGTAGTCTTTTCTTCCCCGATCCATTACTGAAGTATCTAAATAGCTTGGATCACTAACCAATCCAGACTATGTTAACTTCTTTGTTGGTAAAACACCCCTCTCTTTTATAACTGAACGCACTTATTTTTGTTTGATGGGTAATCTTGCGTTCTCATTGAGTTGTATATTGGGTGGAGAATCTGTGTAATACCTTGAATTATAATTTACATTTTTTAGGTTATCATATGCCTCTACTATCATGCCGATGGGACAGAGGGTGTTCATTAAAAACAGATACAAATATAGCCACCAGTTTGCACACGGCTCGAAATGTCAGATACCTATTTCTTTCTGTTTGCTGGGAAGGTCGTTAAGATAGGTACCCACCGACGTATTGTTAAACAAACGCTCGTGATAAGAAAAATACCCGCCTCCACCTGTATCAATTAAAACCTCAAGAAGAAACAAATACATCACTGAGAGTAAATAGAAGAATCGTGAAACCGTATACTTTTCCCATATGGCACGTTACAAAGACAATTATGTAGCGAGGCAACTGTTGTTTCCTTTGTTGAACCAGGATGAGGTACGAGTCTGACCTGCATTATTTATCGTACGCTGCATTGGACTCGTCCTTCCGTGAGAGCCTCAAGACAATCGTGTCCGTGGTCTTACTACTCATCCAAGGTCGGATCAACACTGACAGGAAGTTTAACATTCGAACTCTGCTGCTCACTGTCCCTCCAAGGTCTTGCTTCTTTCTCACGACATTCCAACCCCACTTCTTTCGAAGGGCGGAGAGTTCTACTCTATCGCTGAAGAACTCCTGCGTTATTTATGGACCTGATAGAGCTAACCACGCGGTCGTTCGACTTTTTGTTCCTCGCTGAATATATTTTATAGTCTTGACTGTTTTACAATAACATTACTAGAAGCTTGGCAAATACCTAATGCCATGTACGAATAGAACCACGTTTTCTCGAAGTCGTATCTTCAGCTTTGGGTTGAAGGATATTCTTCAGGACACTTTAATTTCTTCCGGCCTGATTCTATCCGCTTTCTCTAATCTCTAACTCATCACTCTATTTACCCCACTTCCTTAAACGTCACTGCAGTGTCTAGAAGAACCTTTCTTTCCCTCCAAGTATGTATCTGTGTCACAGATGTCGGTGAGTGCGTTGCTGCGCCAGTGCGTATGAAAGTGTGTGTGAGAGAGGGACTTCTAGCATTATTGTCAACATCCATTTCATTATCATCACAATTATGCTATTGTGTTCTGTCGTTTTTCTAGATTTCCTTTTTCTTTGTTCATTAATCGTAGTACAGAGTAGCTGGCTCGGCGATACGTCAAAACTAAGCCCCATGCCTTTCTGTCCTCAGAACCGGTCGATCAATAATTTACACCCAATTCTGGCTTCCATTTGCACTACGATCTGATCCCAAATCATGTCCTTCCTCGGTAGGCATTGTTTATTTTCTGCTAACAATGGCTTCCACTCTGCAGTAGAATACACTTTTGCTTCCTCTAGAGCATTCATAATCTTCGAATTAGTCAGTTATAGTATGACAGCATTCCCATTCAACATTATATGATTTATCCTGTTATATTTTACCTTTATTTCATTCACTGCAGATCATCCTATATTCTCGTCTGCTGGAAATATGGTTGATTCAACAGAATCTTCCACCACATATATAATTGCTGCCGTCCTTGCAGTCCCTTTAACTTGCGGCACTTGAAAAAAATAAAAAAAAAGCTAAGAAAACGACGAGCGCGAGCAATCGCGAGCAATCTGTGGGCGCAAGTCAATCTCGGCGTTCGACGCACGGCACCCGGCATTCGGCTGCCGGGGACACGAGAGTAAAAGCGCGATTAAATATTTGCCTCGTTCGTCAGTGTCAGTACAAAGCAGCGAACCCAACAAGCTCTACTCATATTGGTCGCGTTAACCAGAGTGGTCTCCTTTACTTTCATCTTTTTTTTTTTAACTTTTTACGCGTTTCTGGTATTCATTGAAGCTCACCTACTACAAATATGGCGGGTTTGATATCTTCCCTGGATTTCAAAAGCCAGATTATTTTTGAAGTTTAATGCAATCCTGCTCGAACAATAGAATTTATAGGATTGTCTCTTCTTCTGTTCCCTACTTCTTTTTTTTCTTCTTTTGTCGCCTTTGATGGTTTATTTTTTAATTAGGACTGCGCATCGATTCAACGTTTTAACACAACCCAATTAATTGGCAGCATTTAAATTAATAAATATTAAATTATTTGGTCAAGTCATTTCCGAGGAACAATTCCGCTAGCAGGGCTTGAACGTAGCGCTGCGGTCATCCTGCCATCGTCGTTGTCGTCGTCGTCGTCGTTGTAGGCATACATATTTGCAAAGTGCATTTTATGATATTATGGGGATCATGAACACGCTCCATTACGATCCTTGTGGAAATAACAACCTCAAAATGCCCGGCGTCAACCCCACAGATTTGTTTGCCCCTTCGAAATCGTGCTTCACCAAGCCAATCTTCCGGTGTCTATCCGTCGTGCGTCGTGCGCCATTCACAAATATTCCTCTTCCTTCCTCTAAGTCCCCGAACTGCCACTTTTCATTTCGCTGTCATTTTTTTTTTATCCACTACCTTCTAGATAGTATACTATATAAAAAAATTAGAAGAACGAAAATAATTATATATTTAGATTCCTTCATCTTTCGTCAATTTTTTCGTTGATTATAGTCCTGAACCACCAACAAAACAAAAGCAAAAAGTCTATATCTTTTGGAAGCACAATGCAGCCAACACATTCCGCGCTGTCACGGAATAGTAAAAGTTGCCTTTCTCTTAAAACCCCATAAGACTAGTAGGACACTCGCTGTAATGAGATCAACTCTGGCTAACCGCTCATCTTTCCTACAAGGATAAAATTAAGTAAACCTGCAGCGGCACTTGGTGCACACTGACCTCGCAGAAGGCCCAGGCCTCACGTATGTACATACGAAGCCATGGCAAGGAGTCTATCTGGCAGAAACTCAGGAATAAAGGAACATTTTGAGCCAGCGGCGAGTCGCCACAACGTTCAAAAAGAACAATAAAAATTATACTAAAACTTTTGGCCCAGCTGTACTATACGCGTTTTCACTTCGTAAAAACAAGGAAATTTTGCGCATTGTTCATAGGCCACGCGAAGTAATTCTTACAACACTTGGCTGTTGGAGGAAGAAGTGATGTTTTTGGTGTTTAAGATGTATACCTGTTAAAAATGTAACATATTTTAATCTAGAATGCACCTACCTATATCTTAGTGCTGTTCATAAAGGAAGTAATTGGTAAGGCTTCCCGGGGAGCAGGACCTTTTTCTACTACGGTTCTTGAGATGAAAATAAGTATAGACACCAATCGCTGCTGACGATTCGTTGAATCCTGTTAGCCATGTCTGTGAATTGATGTTACTTGAGGGAACATGAGTATCAAAGAATCAAGTACTTTGTGACCTAGTTCTCCACTTGGTAGGCTGTATACTCACGTCTGTCGAGGTAAAGACGTCATGTCGAGTGGTTTTGCTTATATGCGCTGTCTCCATTCTACATATTGAAATACTGGCGTTGATGACTGCTTTACAGGCAAGATCACAACAGTACAAAAGGGTACGCAAACGTTTTTCTTTCTTTTTTATGGAAGTGGTGAAATAGAGGGAAAACTCGGTGAAACTACCAAGTTGGCTAACAAAACTTAATGTCTGTTTTGGTGCAGATTGAAATCATAAAGCTTCTTCTTATTAAACAGGAACCTCCGATTGCCAAAAAAAAAAAAAGAGCTCTGTTTCTGAAAACCCAAAACACAACTAAGTCGGAACAAAAGCCAAGAACGCATTTATATCTTGTCGGCAAGAAGACAGCATGATACGCAAAACAGCAAGAACACAGATTCACAGAAAGAGGGCTTTGGTGCATTTCACTCTTTTTATTAACTATTTTCGTACTTTATGCGGTGTCCATTGTACATAGGAAGTTGATAGAAAATATTACTGTTCATTTACAGTGAGGCACCCTTTTTTAAAGTTTTTTTTGTCGTGTATGTGTGTGTGCCGGGACGTACGCAGTTCGTCCCAAATAATGAAACAAGAACCATGCACAAAAAAGTGCTTCAAACAGGACGAGGTGGGCCAACCATATATTACTTAATAAAACAAAACAAAATTAAACTCGCTGCCCTTTTTGGGGGGTGTACACACGTCTGACTAGTTTTTGACTTAGGACGATATTTCTTCAGTCCCCCGTCATCGCAGCTTAAGGCGCATCATCGCAATTCATGCTTCTCTTTCTGAAACATAACCATAAAAGCTGACTGGTCTTCGCGCTGTTGCCTGCAGCAGAACACAGCACTTTCAAAACAATGCTTCAATGCATTTCTTTCCAGTATGGAAACAAAACAAAATCTTTTGTCACTGGCAGGAACAGCGCTCTCCAAGTTGTAGCTCTGCAAAAATTAGAAATCACGAGAGGGGGGAAGCCGGAACACTTTGCTTCCAGCTTTTTCGTAGCAAACATCACGTCAAACACACTCCCAAGTGAGTCTCACAGTATTTACATAAGTAACAAAACAACGTGTGTCGCGCTACTACATACGGTACGGAGCACCGCTGAACATTCACAACCCGAACAACGGTCAGCCAGAAAAAAAAATTAATACACCGGACTTTCACAAATTTCTTAATACCCGGTTTACGACATTAAAAACGCGGAATTTACGACAAAAAATATGTTTGAGGAAGGAGCAAGGTGACATAAAATTCTACAGAAACTGTTGCATGACTCATACAAAAATAACTGTAAGGTGCATTACGAAGAAAGGTCTTTGGTGTAACCATACTCTCACGCGAGATTCATTTGTTGAAAGAACAAAAGTACTTCTGCAATTCAAATCGCTGAACAATCCTTCAAGAAAAGTTGTAAAATGTCTCAATTCCTAATCTCTAGTCTGTCCGCGTGAATGATGCTTTATGTTATAAACTTGGTCATCCTAAATCTTAGCACTTTACCGAGGAGTTACAGCTTAGATCGGAAACTGTATCAGAAAAACAAACGTACAAAATATGTGCGCAAACAAATCGCCGCATTCAGCTAGCACGCAACTTAATTTCATTGCACTTAGGTCAGCTAGAAAACAGAACAACAGAAAAACATAAAAGTATTGTCATCTTGCACATCACTCAAAGTAATTAAAAGAGTAACGCTTATAACAATCACAATAATGTTCACTGTTAAGCGACATAAACAGAGTTCAATTGTGAAAAATTGATTATCGCACTTGTCACGAACCTTCGTATCACTTAAATATTCGTGCTCGGAACACGCATCATATGACGGCGAAATCAGACTCCCGCGTTTGTTTGCGCCAAAAGTAACAGAAACGCACGGTACTGAAAGAAATCTATGACAAATCGCTGGGAAAATTTTCATCACCTCGATAGTGGGCATGAATATAAACATCATTTTCTTCCCGTTGTAAACACATGCTTCGAAGCTCACGCCTTTCTTTCGCCCAATATTGTGATTATGCCCGAAATCATTTTTTACAACAAACAACGGCAGCACGGGACACGAGTTTATTAAAAAAAAAATAATGCGAAAAACGGCCATAGGACGACCGACTGAATTGTACCAATATTAACACAGAAGTAAATATAAGAAACAGCAACATCATAAATACACAGCCAATCCCTCTCAAACCCTCTTTAGAGCATCCAGCCACACACACACACATCTAGACAGAAAAATACACTGGGAAAGCGAGGAACGCTCACACATCCGTAAGACGCGCACTAACCATCATCATCATCACCACACGTCCTTTTTTTTCCTTCTTTCACCATGAAACAAGTCATTCAATCAGCAAGTCATTTATATCATCTCAACGCACTTCTTCCTTCGCATGAATCCTGCTGTCGCTTGTTCGTCGCGTAGTTTTTTTTTTTCCCGTGTCTCTGTTTGCGAAAACATCTTGCGTGCACTTTGTCGGAGCCGACCCAAGTCCCGAGGGAGGCAGTTGGGGATCGTCCGATGGCGGACGGCCGAGCTGACTGACTGCGGGTGAACGGATGCGTCCCGTGTGGGGAGGAAGGGAGGGAGGGGGGGGGGGGGCACGAAACCGGGAGGAACACAGGAGCACCTCACTGTCGAAAATGGCGTCAACTCATCGCTGTGCACAGGAGGACAACCCTGCCCGAACCCAAACAGGTTTGGCAATAGCAATCGCAGAAGCGGAGGTGGGTTGGCGTTGGGAGCGGCACACAGCGTCGAGGCTGTGCCGGTGTTTCGTGGAGCACTTTGCTGGTTGCACTACTAAGTGGCGTGCAAGAGTGGTGCATGTTCGCTGGCTAGCCGACTTTAGCGCAACTTTTTTTGTTGTAGTGTGTCGCTGTGTTTGTCACGCTTCGTAGAGGTGGGCTGTGACCCTAGTGGTTTTCCGGTGAGTTGAGTGGGGACCGCGAGATGGTGACAAACTTCGAGGTGCTCGTTTGCAGAATGATGTGGTTTCATTTGCCGACGACGGCTGAGTGAAGGCACACTTGCCTTAACACGTAGCTCGATAGCAAACACTGCCGAACGTGGGGAATACTTCTGCGTCTGTAGCCTAATATTTGGTCGAGCTGTAAAGGCTGACAGATTGGAAGAGCACAACGTGCCGATGTTGTTTCGTCCCGTTAGCGTCCGTTTTAGTCATTTTCATTTCTTTTTTTTTCTTTTGGTTGGCCATTGCAAAACTGTTTTCTTTGATATGGATGACTCCACTCCACAAACAATCGCCCAGATTGTGAGTTGTCTATAATAACTAGACAAAAGCGACTAGTATTAATTTATCCATTCACTCGTTCATTCAATCATTCATTGATACATTTTTTTTTCATTTATTTATTAGTTATTTATTCATTTATTATCTCCTTCTCTCTCAGGTTCCTTTCGTGGCATCAGAACCGCGATGCGTCAGAGGCCTACGCCGAAATTCATCTCCACTACCAGATAGAGAGAAAGCTTTTGTGTAAGTAAGAATTGTTTTTAAATAGACCTGTTCTCGCTGTGCTTCTGTGGATTATAATTTGTTTTAGTTTTTAAGGAAAAATAATTTCTGAAACAAATTATTTTTCATTCAACGTGTAGCCCTTCTCATGAACGAAGTATGCCTCTCAGCGAAACTCTACGCCCAGCCAATCTGTCATGACCGTGTTTCTTTTTTTTTTTTTTTTATAACGTTCGTTCAATCTAGATGGGCTGGGACATTATTAAAAAAAGTTGGAGCTTGGCTGCCGTAGATAACTGCCCCTAAAAAGCGAATAGCGAAGCAACCCTATCTTTGGTACAAGCAAAGTGCTCCAGAGACGAGACACCGACTGCAACACGTCGACCGCTCCGTCGGTAAGCGGGGTCCGGAGACGCACCGAAAGGGCTCGCAAAAGAAGATGGCCACGCCGTCGTGGCGGCTCCTGTCGCCGCCAGTGTGCCCACGCGGTGGAGTGCTCTGCGCGCTGTGTGCTCGCAGATAAAGACGTCAGGTGCAGCCTGTCCCTGCAGCGGGGTCCTCTGCTGTGCGGCCCCGGCACGGAGACCGGAGGGAGCGCGGCGATCACTCGTTGCCGGACTGCTTGGACTTCCCGCCGCGCTTGCGTGCCTTGGGCGGCAGGTCGGGCTGAGCTGCGGCGCCCCCTTTAGGCGGGAGCGGAGGCTTGACCAGGCGCGGGTCGGGCACGCGCCCCGCTTTCACGTCCTCGTACATGTCAGCGTACAGGAGTTCGTCATTGATATCGGGCCTGTAGGGCTGCCAGGGAGGAACAGGGAGGCGGAACGAGGCACTGCTGAGAAGCTCAAAAGGCTTTTTGTATAACATACGAATGCAACAGGCCGTTCAGGCAACGCCGATTAGAGGAGTAACCCTCAGCTCTCTTCTTACGCCGTACCTATTTTATTACCGCAGCACAACCACTCGTCTTCTTTGGCGAAGGGATATGATATCATTGGACTCATGTCCATTGACCAACGTTATAACTTATAAGCCTTTTTCATAGACAAGCGCCAAATATAGCAAGGTCCACGCAAAAAGAAAAAAAGGCTGTGTTTGTGTCCTTTGTCTGCTTGGAAGTATTAAAAGTAAACATTTCGGTGGACATCCACCTGGTTAGGAATGACAATTAATGTAAAAGGAAAACTCTTTTTTTCATTAATTTGTCTACTTGTCAATGTGTCTTTTTGTGCTGTTTTCTTCTGTTACGAATATACAACGACTAGCTTAACTTCAAACTAAAAAAAAACAAAAAACCTGCAAAATAGTCGGCTAGGAATGCATATCCTGTCACCACACTTACCGAATACGTGAATCGTATACCTTAGACGTGTCTATATAGATAACCCACACCTCATGTCGTTTCCAGAACGTTTCTGACACATTGTCTGCGGCACACAACATTTGCAATGGTGACCCACGAAGACGCCAGACCAAAGACGACCTCTGTTTTACCATGTAATCTACTGAAGCCTCAGCGTGTCGTCTGCCTGGGATAGGACGGGGGGACCACTAATGAGAACGTCATATGCTAGCCTGGTCTTTCAGGTAACTCTAATTCAAGCCTTTTTTTATATATATATATATATATATATGGGTGTTTTTATCTCAAGTCGGGCAGGCTAAAAGTGTCTCATTTTTAATTTTCACAGAAAAAACTATAGGTTCTGGGGGCTTTCTCAATTGAAGGAGGGCGCAAACTGCATGTTCCCAAGATTTTTTGTTCTCGAGTTACGAGCCGTAAAAGCCGTAGTGGCAGAAACTAGTGTTTTTGCCTGCCGTCGCAGGTCTCGTGTTTGACACCCTTTGCTGGCGCTAGTGTTTTTTTTTTTTTTGTACACCCTTTTAACTTTTCCCCCTCATTTAATAGGTATTATAAAGATACCTTGACGAATTCAAATATTTTTAGGAATTTGATTGTTTTTTAAATACATGTAAAACTCGTCACTCCGGTCGCTTTTTGGTCAAATTTCACAGGTCATTACTTTGTCTGTACTTAAGGTAAATTTTTTTTCTTTGGCTCTACAGAAAACCCAAAGCAAGCCCATTATAGATGTAATAATATCATTATGATCTGTCGACTAGCCGCTCCGCTACCTTCACGTAAACGTTGTCAGAAATAACAAATGTTGAAAGTTTGAGGTCGATTTTCTCAAAAAACCCAGTTTTGTAAATTTTTATTTTTCAATTCTTCTGTATTATTTAAATATTTAAATACATCAAGGTATCTTTATAATACCTATTGAATGAGGAGGGAAAGTTGAAAGGGTGTGCAGAAAACAATAGCACCAGCAGAGGGTGTCAAGCACGCAACCTGCGACGGCAGGCAAAAACTAGTTTCTGCCACTGCGGCTTCTACGGCTCGTAACTCGAGAACAAAAAATCTAAAGAACATGCGGTTTGCGCTCTCCTTCATTTGAGAAATACCTCCATGAGGGAAATACCGTCATAAGGGGAATACCTTCATGAAAATTAATAATTGCATTCTTTTAGCCTGCCCGATTTGAGGTGAAAACACCCATATATATCTATAAACACGTGTTGGAAATCCAGCGCAGCTGTGAAACGTAGTACTGTATTCTCGGGACATGTTCCAGCAAACATTAAGTACCACCCATGGCCACGGTTGTCAATTCGTATAATTTTATACGTACAGTGACGACAGTGACATGGGAGAAATGCGGAAAGTGTTTTAAGTTACTTTGAGTTATGTTACATACTCGTCAAATTTGAAAACTCAAGCCCCCGATTTAAATAATCTGGTGTACAAAGTGACTCAAGTACACAATTTTCTCCAGGCTTTCCTATTTAAAGAACAGTGAAGTTTGGATTTAATAATTTCAAAAGACCTCCGAAAAAGTGCGTATTAAAATACTTTTTCTGTTATTAATCGCAAAACTATAAATAAATTGTTACAAGGAGGTCATCATATAAACAAAAAAGAGGGAACGAACATATGCACCACTCACTATCAATTGTGACTTTAATACATGTTCGTAATCATTATCCCTCTAATGACGTGTGCTAACTAGCTCAACTCAATCCTGTTATAGAAAACTATTTTTTACGACCGTTCAAAGTGCTTTATCGGAAAGAACAAGTGTGTAAACTTTTAACAGTTTGCTAATTAAAAAGAAAGCAAATATGAGCTATTGATATTAAAATTCAATGTAATAGCTAGCTAGATTAATGTTTAAACTTCGACAGATTAAAGCGCAGTCAATGTTTTGACACTCACAAGTAGCAATACGCTAACGTCAGCTATTGTTTATGGAAACTACAGCAAACATTAAAGGATGAATGTGCCCTTAAAATGTAGGACACTAATATTTTTTTTCTATAGAGAAAGTTGAAATAGGAACTGGAGTATTATAATACGTTTCGTGTTTTTAAGTTGTGATGGGTAAACATCCGTTCAAACCTCAAAAATAGCAACCATAGTTATCAATTTAAGCGAAAATCAGTAACTTGTACCGACATTATTTCCACCGCAAAAAAGGCACCGGAAAGTCACGAACAGCCTCTACTCGGCACATCTTCAGAACCCTAGTGTGCATGAAAAGTCACCCCTTCTTAAATTCCATCATTCTCCTTAAAGAAAGAACACACTGAGACCTTGAGGCTAATGATACTCACCAGCTGCGGCATTGTCTAATGTTTGGTGGAATTTGAGCGTAGCGTACTCCGTCGGGGGGCCTTCCCTCCGTGACGTCATGACCGGTTTGTGCGCGTTGTTGAGCAGCGCCAGGTCAGCGTACACGACCCCTTCGCGGTGGTTAGTGCGCAGCAGGTGCATCTGCCAGGAGGGGGAGGGGAAGGGGGCAGACGCACGAGCATGCTGTTAGCACACACCGACGACTACGTCATGCACATACGCACACGCATACAGACATTTGTTAGTCCAGACAACAAATTTGAAATGCAGCATGGTTAAAATCTAAGACAAATAAGCCACAAATGAGCCCCAGATATACATAATCGTTAGTATGCTTAACCACCTTTTGTCTCCTGTCTTGTCCAGTGTAGGATTTTTGCAGAGAACCAAATTCGCTTACGTTATTTTTTCAGAGCATTTTATACATTTAAATAATTTTTGGGTGTGATTAAGTTTTGCGTTTATTTCGCTGCAATCGAGGTTGCCACAAATCATGTACGAACGACACATTGTTACCAACCTTCAGTGACCCTATGACGATATTTCTACGTTATGATCTAATCGCTGACTGCTGTTTCTTCATTATGATATAAGTCTCACTGGTAATGTAAGAATTTCTTCAATTGTAGGGCTGTCCCGTGTTGCCAACGTCCGTGATGTTTCACCTCAATTATACACTGTCGATGTAGAACCTTTTGAATTCGTTTTTGAAAAATTATAAAATAGATACGACCTGTCACTTTCACATTGTACTGGAGCCTTTGCAGCCATGTAGCACACAAATTAATTCGAACTGAGTATGTAACAAACGTTAGACAAATATATTGATGTATATATAGCAACCCTGAAGTGTATTCTAAGATTATATTTTTTTCGTGTAAGCTCAACATACCCAACAACAAACAAGGCACCCGAGGAAATAAAAAAATAACAGAATGCGTGATTTCGTTTCCTAATAAAAGCGCGACCGAACATGGCGACATGCTCCTTCATCGAAAATATATCTAGTAAATAGTATAGCCGCGATATTTTAAACGTTGCATATCAGCAATGCTATCAATCAGTGGCCTAGATGGGTGATTTAAAAGCAATAAATTGTTTATAAAGTAAGATCTGTAGAATTCTATTTCTAAAGGCCTTCAAATCCGGTCTTTAGCATATTAAACTTTCTAATATTGGACATAGACTTATATATTGCATACTTTCATCAATAAGTAAAATTTAAAAAAAAAAAAAAGATCTAGGCATTCTTTGATGTTCCTTTTCGATCAAACCTTTCATTTTTTTTACGTTTTCTCTCAATAAAAGATCACTTACGATTCCATGTAATAATAATTATACCTCATTGTCAAGAAAAACGTGTTCAACGAAGCAGCATCTCTTGATATAATGTACCAAAAGCAATAAATAGAAGGTCATTAAAGAGGTGTTTATGAAAAAAAAACTTCGTTAAATGGCATTCTCCAATTCGCTTGTTTGTGAAAGAAATCTAAGGAAAGAAGTAGAAGCCCCACAAAAAGAAAAATACACAAAACTTCACTCTTTTAAGTCGACAAACAACACGACGGTTAAATGAGAAACCTTGCGATTCTCATGGCTTGATTATTGTTCGTTTTTCTTTTCTTTTTTTATAGACGTTCACAGGCATTGTTTTCAGCTACAACCCTCGCAGCTGTTCTTTGTGGAAAAATATAAGTCGAGAGTTAGAGAAGAGATGGAAGACAAAGTTGAGGATCGTAGATAGATGTCGGAAATAAGTGAAAAGAAGAAAGAAGCTGTCGAAGGCCGTTCTCGTTGTTTCTTTCCTCCGGACATCTTTTGCAGGCTAATCCTTTCCTTAGGAAAGTGCTTGGATTAAGATTATTTCAAATACAAATGGGCGGTAAGTAATTATTCTCGTTCAATCTTAAAGTAGAAAAATGTTTGGCCCGTCAGATAACCTTACACTCTACACTGAATGATCTCACACGCAAAGACAGATGCCACGAATATTTCGTAACACTTGATATTTTTCCCTTATTGAGATTCATAAAGTTAACGCCAGATATAAAATATCCCAAAACAATCCGGTACCATGTTTTTCACGATGTCTCCGGGCTCGATCAGTGATAATTCGCCTCATAAACTAATAGTTTAGCCGATTTACTGATTTCCGTCTAATCATCTTATGATGAACGAAATAAAAAATGCTTGAAGCGTCAACCGGATGAGAGACGCGACTCAGGAATAGAGCTGTGGAAGCCTGTACGGAAACATAAGGAAAGACTTGTCAAGAGAAAATCGAAATTCAGCGTCAAACCGGAAGCCATATTCTTCATGCCGACCTCCTTTCAAACATAGCCATTGGGTATTTCATAAAGAGAAGCCGAACGACAGGAAAAGAGAAGGGTCCAGCGGAGAAGGAAGGAAATACAAGGTCCGAGGGAAGCACTGAGAAGACTGTCGGCGCCGCAGACGGAGGCACGCCACGGGGTTGCCAACTGACCTTCGGCGTCGACGCCTTGGGAACTGCCACGACGGCGATGCCATTGTCGGGCACCCTGTGCCCTTCACCCGCTGTGGGCGGCTTCGTCACTCCTGAGGCGGCCCCGCCTCCAGCGAGCAGGGCACCATTGCGAACACCGTTCCTGAAGTCCGACCTCATCGACGAAGGTGTCACCGACCGCACCCCGTTTCGCAGGTCCAGCCGCCCGGAGGCCGGCGTGGCGGACCGCGAGCGGCCCAGAGACCCCGTGGGCGCCCCTCTGGTCAACGGGAGCAGGACGTGGCTGGGCGGCTTGGTACTTCTGGGCCTTGGCGGCGGCAAACCCACACCGTTGATGCTGGCGAGGACGGGGTCCTCGGCGAAAGAGCGCGGAAGCACGTTCACGTATTGCGGAAGCCTCCGCTCTTCCCGCTGTGATGGCACCGGAGACGCCCGGCCTTTCGAGGACGACGACGTCGGCACCGACGCCGTGTCGGACACCGATGTCGTGGCCGTGGAGTCCGTGGTCACGGTGGAGGTAGTGGAAGGACACTGGGGGTTGTCGTGATAAACCCGTCGTACTCAAGGTTAAGTTGGGTTTTCGAGAAGACGGCCGCTCATAATGGTGAAAAGCTACGGGAGCGCTGAGAATACTGCCGAGCTAACTACAACCGCCGTCTTCAAAACTTCCGCACAAGTCCTCCACCTCGTACATTTTCATTTACAAAATGCCTTAAAGACCCGTACCTAGCCAAATCGGTAGATATGCAATTGACAGCATATCGCTCGACAGCTACATAACAAGATGGGTAGAGAGAAACTTTGTATAAAAAGATAAATGTAGACGTATCGGCAGAAACTTACAAAACTTATGCTCGAAGCGTCTCTTAATATTACCTTGAGTATAACAAGTTTCTGAAACGTGGAAGAGCTGAATTTGGTCTTGCTAATTTGCCCCGTATCGTGCGGTTTTATTCGAAGGTGTGATCAGACTTTGAACTTCTATAAAATATCGTTACAAGACAAAACAAATACATGCGTGCATTGCCATACGTGACGCATCTATTTCCCAACCAATAGTCATTTACACATGCATAAAAATGTATGAACAAAAAATCCGCAATAATAATTCCGGTTGAGCTCTCTACAACAAATAAAACCGTCGTATTTAGAGAGTACTTCACAGGCAGCCACTGTAAGCCCCAGTTTTCAAAACGCCTAGGTTCCATTGAAACAGCGAAGTTTAAATAAGGCGCCGACCCTCACAAAGGAATTGAAAAATTCTTCCATAGGCTGCTCAAAAAGCTTTTTGTCGGAGCAGTCAGTTTCACCTTTAACATAAAGATCCCCCTGCACAGACTTGTCTGAAGCACCAATTACTGCACTATCGTTGGTGTCAAGCAAACGAAACCTGCAACAGTTTGAACAACATCCGTCCGGCGAGTCTTTCATCCTCCTAAGCATTTTTGCTTTGGATGAATGACGAATTTTAATTACGTTTCGCGCCACCGGTGCAAACGTGGGAGAAGGAATCATCTTTTACACGCCACCGTCAGAGAGCGACAACTGTTCACAACGCAAATTCCGGAAGGCTAAGAAGCATAGCGTTCCTCGAGGTAGAATGATCTTTACGGACGTTGTTAATCAAAATACTGCAATTGTTAGGTCAATACTGGGTAAGACGCATGCAAAACCGCGTAACTTATATTTGTATGCGATTTCTTAGGCGATATGTTCTAGCATGCTGCATCCATCGGCACAAGCTCGTTAGTACTGTTCCAGCTGAAAGTTTGGTCAGTCCATTTACGCTCTAGAGGTGGTATCGCGTGAATCTACGTAAAGCACCATGGCGATGGCGAAACGCGTGTAATGTGCGTGAAGCAACGCGTGGAAGCTTACCCCCTTGGGGTTCCTCTGCGGATGAAAAGGCATGTTTTCGTAGGTCGCCCTGTTCTCGGCGTCGTTGCTGCCGAGAGGCGGTGGCCCGTTTTCCGTCTTGCCGTCGACGTTCTGGTACACGGGCTCCACCGCGGCCCCTTTCGTCTTGGCCTTGACGGGACTGCTCACATCTGCGGGTGCGAGGAAGGGTTGAAAACTGATTTTGATAACACCTTCAAATAATTTACTAAGAAGAAGACATCCTGCTCCACTCATTTGCTTTGGGCAGCGAACGTAAATCATGAAATTCTCCCCTCCGGCGGTGGGACATGGATTCCAAGAGAACGCAGGCACATCGCGCTGTCCACCCTGTCGTGCATTCAAGAGGCGTAGAGGGACAGGGCTGCCGCCGGCGCACAGAGATAAAGGAATCGCCAAGCTAGCAGAGACAGCTGTCTGCTCTGTCTCAATTGTCGGTCATGACGATAGTCTACGGCAGTCACTCCTTCCAACTCAAAGGGTAAGACTCCAACGTTGCGCGCGTCCAGCCCTTCCCACTAAACACAACCTATCGTCCTCAAGGCAAGTCGATTTTCGCGGTGTGAGATGCATTCCCCTAATAAAGTATTCAAAACTTTCTTCCAGAAATTTGCTTGGGGTAACTGAGCGTATTGGGAAGCGTTCCAAATGGTGGAATAGCGTTTCCACAAGCTGCATTCTTGTGTGGACGAGACGTTAGTTAATGGGTGGACCCTCTGAAGGATTGAGTCAGGTGATAGCGACCTTGAAGGAACTTGGTATGAGCAACGGGTGCCACCGCACCTGCGCGTCCCCAGAGTAAAGGCGTTTAGCCGACACGGGAGATTGCTGAAGAATGAATCAAGAGGCAGGCTGGCATGCATGCCACAGCTGAAGAGACCCTTTGACCTTTCGCGTTCCGGCGTTTCTAAGAACCAGCACCAGAGTCGTGACAATCTGGCTCAGGGGACGTTTGTGGCGTAATCATAGTAGGTAGAAAAATGTATCAATAAACACTTCAGTTTTAGGTCAGATCCAAGCACCCTCTTTTTGACTACAGTCACTGAGAGTTTAAAGAGAAGCTGGAGCGGTGAATTCGGAGTATCCTATGACCTCTTGGCAGCCTATCCTATTGATGGTTCAGCAGATAACAATTCCAAAGAGCGAAACACGGAGCACCATGCGTGAAAATAATGAGACGCGATCTGCATTCCTTATGCCTTACGTGCCTATAGGGGTAATCTGCCTATTTAGATGCTGCTTATTTAAATGTGCCTCCTATTTAGATATAATAACCCTGCCCAACCAGTGTGGCGCCATGCAGTTGCCGCACTGGCTGGGCAGGGTTACAAGATCAAAATGCGTTTAAACACTGCTGTACAATAATCCTGTCTAAATAGTAAAACATCTACAGCTATATTCACAAGCCGCGACCAACTCTGCTCGGAGACTTTTCTTGGCATTTTGAAAGAGAGGGGGGAGAGCACATGCTCAGCTTTAATCAGCACTCAAAATGGTAGAGGGTACGTGTGCCCGCAAGTTTGAATGCATTGCCAAAAAAAATTCTCCCTTAGTATAGCGCTGTTTTTTAGTTAGTAGCACATCTATGTAGTCGCGAGCTAGGCGAAGAATCGGCGACTTAGGAGCTGTATAGAGTGACTAGAGCATACAATATTCAAAAGCGCGAAGCAAGCCGTGACTATCTAGTCACAAATAACAGTTAGAATCGACGCTCGTTTTTACACACTTGCTATGGAACAGAGGTTTGGGCTTTAAATATAGCGAAGATTAGCATCGTTCATTCTTTAAGAAAAATGAAGTAACTAAAGCTACTACACTTTCATTATGATAAAAAGGTACATACTATTCGGTACGACCAAAATAACAATAAGTGATTCATGTTATTTTCCGGCGAAGATACAAAATGCCCACGCGTTTTCTCGTGAAAACACAAAGGAGCACCGCAAACGTCCACTGGTTGCTGTCTGCTTCAATCTGCCTTCCGGTAGTCGCATAGACAATAGCGCCAGTTAAACTCCTATCGCACATCATATTAACTCTATGGCGGTGATATGAGTACGTCACATTGCCGAGCCGCTAGATCACCCGCTATGCACCTGCTAATCTAGCCGTACACCCGACCAAGATTGTTCAGCCGCCTTCCAAGTCGCTCGGGGCGAGTAAGACCTAAACATGATCGGTGCATACCGGCAATTTACTTAGCTATTATTACCACCTGCCACGTGATCACTTTAATTGATGACGTAGATAGCCAGCGGTTAAGCAGGCGCTAGTCTCATCTGGTGAATACGGCTGCTACTCTACCCAGGAAGAAGTTACAAATGTAATTTCCCGCCCGCAAATCGAAGTCGTTTATTTTTGTTTTGTTTTTTTCTTTTTCCACAGCCACAAGCAGACTTCATATTTGTTTGTTTATTTTAATACAGATTAAGGAGTCTTGATTTTATAGTGTTTATAGTCATATAGTTTAAACCGCTAAACGTAATGTGTACTGCGAAGTTCTTTTTTTTCTTTTTTTTTGCTCCGAGGTTATCAAAATTTTTTAATTGACCAATAAAAACGCCTAGGAAGGAATCAACGAGAGAGGAGTGTTAACATTATGAGGCACTGCGTTTTATAAGCTATCACAGTGTAAGTTCACTTACCGTGTGATAAAGATGTTGCGGCATTAAGTTGTGAAAAAAATAGTTATTTTTTCTGTTCCTCAAATTATTGAACTGACTTTTAAAACTTCACAAAATGCTACTAATAAGCTGTGTACAGAGTGTTGTGATGATATGAATGTACACAAGCTTCACCTGATTTTTTTTAAATTTTTGTAAAGCTTTTTTAAACTAATCATAGCACGTATCACCGAAATACAGAGCTATTTCTAATGAATTGGCAATAATCTCAAATTATTTCTACTGATCTTTTACTGTTGTGCTTTGCTTGAATTACGCGCTACGTGACAATTTTAACGAGTAAGGCATGCGTGGGTGCCAATTGAGGTTTTTGTATTTTAACACGTTATAATTATGACGGATTTCTTCCGCTATTTTTATATTTTATCTTGCTTATTTTATCCCGATTTGTTTCGCACTATTGATTGTACTCATGAAAAAATTGCTGTCAAAATGGAGTAACTTTAAAGCTTCCGCCTTCCCAATAGCGTCGTTTTACACCTATCTTGCTAACTATTTTATAAACTGCGTCACTCCTGTATAGAATACACTAATGTCCTAAGCTGCATCATTACAAAAAATATAGACGTTCTTGCACTTCATCGAATTTCAGAGACAAGGTAAATTGTAGCCATTGGGCCCTTCGATAAATTCATCAGACGCCTTTGATCAAGGCAGTAATATTGAAAGAGTGTGCCAACCACATACATTCACATTGAAACATTAATAAAAGATTCATCGTCTTCATCAAAAATAGATTTCACGCACAAACAAATCAAGGCTTACTTTGACAAAATACATTTAACAAAGACAGGTTATTCTTTTCCGACACTTACGAACACCACCGGACAACAGGACTACACTGGAGTCAACGTGCATCATGCATTCGCCTATGTGAAGATTTGCCTTTATCGTGCTGTTACCGGGATGCGCCTCGTACAGTCGTCCACAATGTTACACGGAGCATGAATCCTGGTGCGCTAAGCTCTCAGAACATCGTTATGAAGTCTTTCCATTGGCAAGGGGAAAGGCGCTACTCTTAAATGCTTAGTGTGTTGCTGTAGTTTGCAGATTTTGGAACGATAAAAAAATACAAAATGATATTAATAATAACACTCAAAGTGACAAAAAACGTGTTATTTCGAATGGAATATACGTTTTTCAATCTTTTATTGCTCATGAAAATTTCAAGAACTGTCCATGATTAAGGCAACCGTTGAGCTGGTAACGAATAACATATTTTTAAGAAGGTTCAAGTAAGCAAAATATCGCGTTTCTAACCCCAGTTACGTTCATTGTTGCTGCTTTTATTCGGTTTGTCGACAAATAAATTGCCCAATTCGCCGTGCAAAAACCTTATGAGGCGTCGTCTGTTGCCGATGAAATAATAGAAAAAGTAAACGCGAAAGAGGAGAATCCCGTTTAAGTAGTTTCTCATAGCTGCTAAGATATGCACTCATGTTTATTTTACATTGCGGAGCAAACAAGTCATTTCATTGAATTTTTTTTTTTTTTTTCGCAACACCGATTTTGGCCGGCGCACACGGGCTGGTAGTTCAGTGAAACAGTATGGACTACTGTATGTTGTGTGACCAGCGACATAGGTGTTTCTTTTTGCCATGGTGGCGGGAGTCACCTCACCTGAGACAGTTCTCCGTTTCCGTCTGGCTTCGTCAACTCGCTTGAAAGTGATCACTGTGCAGAGTGAGTAGTGTGCCATAATCAGACGCATGCTGGGCGTGCGTGTTAAGACAGTTGGAAGAAAAGGCAGGTGAAGGGGCAGGCGACGGGAGAAACCGAAAATGTGCCAGAGTGACATTGGTTCTGGGGAGGGGAGGCGGGGCTCCGTGGAGAACTGACCCCTACAGTCCTGCTTTTGTTCGAAATTGGCTGTGGTAGCGATAAATGTCGAACGATGGAGCCATTTTCGGATATACAATAAGCATACTGATCTATTTTTAAATCTATGTTTAATAACCTAGAGGATAAATTATTTTCCGACATGCTAAAACTAGGAAGAAAATTCCAAAAAAAATAAAAGCGTCAGGTTGAATGCCACATTATTTAAAATCGCCGATGTCAAATGCTAATTTATTGCGTGTTACTTTTACGAAGAAATTTATTCCACAGATTTTTAAAATGGTATTATTTACAGATCTGCACCTCTCGGAGGTTAGTCGCATCACAAGGAATGAGATACACCAGGGTCTATACAGGGGCTCATGCACCATGCATTTAGCATAGCTATTGAATGTCGCCAGGCGAAATTAAAAAAGCTTTTGGTTAGATCATTCAGCGTGCATTATCAGGCGTCCTTTAAACGTATCAGGGTTATAAAGACAAATAGGAGTTTGTTTTTCCTTAATTGAGCTAGCTTCATAGTAGGTTCTTTATTGAAGGTTTGCCTTTGTTTGTTATACTATTTGCTCATAAACATATTTAGTTTCATTCAAGGCCCTTTTAAGAGGACGAGCATTGTAGATGTGGTCATAAAATCGGCGTCTTTTAGGTATACTTCTCTTCACCCAAAACTTACAGTTTAGAGCAAATAGCTGTAACATTCGAAACGGTTCCAAATTGAATGCTTCGGAAACATCTTTAAAAATACGTGAAACCATCTGCGATCGCCCCGCTCGGGCAGTATGAGTATGCACCCCGTGAGTGGCTACCTGAGTTTCCAGTGATATCGGCGGTGCTACCGTTCTGCAGATACGGAGAGTGGAAGCCCGCTTTGAGGACGCTCAGGTCTTCGGTCGTGCTCAGGCGACCTTCAGGGCTACGGGATGAGGGAGGATGAATGAGGAACACAGGTTGGCGGGGAAAAGCGGAGCATGCAGTGCAGGTGCCCAGGGACACGGTATTCACTAAGATCTCAAGTGATATACAAGAGCATTGGTTCAGGGTGAGGAAGATGCTCGACTAACGTTTCAAGTATACATTTTCCAAGCGTAGCTATCCTTTGTCAGGAGCATATAAACTAGTATTTTCTTTTCTTTCGTTTAGTTCATTACCTTCGAAAAAAAGTGTAATTGGTCACCCTAGCTTAGATATCTGCCAAGTTCGCTGTCATTAAATATGTTAATTTTTGTTTTTTTTTAATATAAATTTTCTTTGCACTCTCATTTAGCTTGCCTGGAATATGAATAGAAGCTCGTTCAAATAGCTGGGATCATGTGCTGACGTGCGAATTGACTGCCATTCCCGAAGTAAAATTCTAACTTAGAAATTTATAAAACATCAGACTAAAAATAAAATATTCTACAAATATCACCTATTCCTGATTGCGGCAAAACGTAATCCCATATTTCGCAAAGGATACCTCGTTCAATTTCCTTCTAGAGGCAATAGGATTATTTTGATGAGGCTGGGGTAGTTGCCGTTGATCATGCAGATGGACATGCACTCCGCTAATTCGAGGCGTTAAGTAAGTTAAGGCTTTCTTTGTACTAAATGGGATCTATGTCGTGAGTAAGGTGCACTTGATTTAAGAGCACGAAGCATTTGTTTGAGAAGTACTTACGTTTGGCGGTCCTCGAAAGCTTCTTTATGTCCAGCTGCAACAAGCACACAGACGGACTCTGACTTCTACACCACTTACCGTGAGCGAACTGAGAGGGAGCCACCTTTGAATCTGAGACCTCCTTACTGCCATTATGTTCTGGCTCATGGGCGAATATTCATCCTCGAGATTCATTCCCTGAGTTCATATATATTCCACTTCACGTTCAGGGATCGTCATAAAAGATAGAATATTTTCGTTTTGCGCAACTTCTCTGTTTGCAAATCATTCTTCTCTCTGTACAATATGAAACTATGGTTTTCCCGGCATTGCAGAAGTTCGTGTTTCTTTTTTTTTTTTATGGTAGCTATGTTTGGGTGACAATTTCATTGAGTGTTTTTTTTTTTTTTTAATGTCCTAATATCCTTATTTCCGAGTAAAGTTCGTACATAACTGAGAAGACACGTTTTTTTTTTTTTTTTGCAATTTCAAAAGCTACCATGTTTAAAAAAAAATCGTGAAACATAATTGTTAATGCAAACTATATATTCTTTGATGCCTCTACTGTCCTAACTTGATTGCAGAAAAAAAGGTCACATGCCTTGCCCCCTTTTGCGAAATATATTTAAAGCGAGAAATCTAAGCTGCTAATGCAAATGCTTCCAAGCAATCGCTCATATCAAAGCTAAAACATCAAAGCAAAGCGAAGCGTGAGACAGACACACGAACGTGCACACAGAATATACATGCATACGCGGTTCTGCATTGTCAAAGAGACTGGCAGCAATCGAACTGGAGAACAGATCGGCCAACAATGAATTCACTCACCTCTTTTCCGTCGCCTCTTCATAATGAGCACGAGAATCACAATAATGATGATGAAGATTAACACGATGAGTCCCGCTATCCCTGTGATCATCATTACTTGCTCGTCATCTAAGTAGACCTGGTTGGAGACGCCTGAAAAAGACAAAAAAAAAACAATCACTGTACCTGCATTATTTTATCTATTTTTATTCACTACAGGCAAGTACAGAATAGAAGCTATAGTTCCTGCACAGCGAGTTTTCAGGCCAAGAACTTCAAACTCCTTGTGGCTTTGAAAACAAAAGAAATCCATAAAATCCAGGCCAATTGATCAAACAAAAAAAAAATATATTTCGAGACGGAAACAAAAGGCTAACGACACCAGGTGTCAAGCGTTTTGTTTGCTACTTTTTTTTACATTTCACATGATCAACATTAAAAAAAAATAGTGCTCCTTTCAACTACCCTGTTTCCTGTTGTTGAACGCAGTGATAAAGCATGCAAGCATGCTTTATCACTGTGTTCAACAACAGGAGCCCATTTACACATACATTGCAGAGATTGCCGTTGCATTCCCAACTTTCAAGGCACTACAATCGTTGGGAGATGTAAAGAAAAGGTGGCGAGGGAGGTACTGGGGGATTACATGATAAAGAAGGATTGTCCTGATAAGTGTATCAGTCAGCCCGCACTTTTCCTCCACAAAAAGGAAGTGGACTTTATTGATACATCTGGTGGCCGAGTCATTGACGACTAGACACATTTGTAGTATTTGTGGCTTTTTGCTGATTTTATTTTGCTGTTTCTATTTTTTTCCAGTAAAAACTTCAGTTGATAGTCAGCGCTCGTCCTGTTTGCCTCTCCGACTTCGTATTCATCTTTATAGTGCACTTACACTATTTTCAACATGCATAACCAACTCGCCTGCATCGCCACATTAGCATCTGTATATTTCCCCGTTATATATATATATATATATATATATATACATATATAAGCCTTTAAGGGGGCTAGCGGGAACGAGAGGGCGTCTGCGGGCGCGAGAAATTGAACGAGACCCTACAAAAAAAAAAAGGCTAGATGTTATATGCTCCTCATGCTATATATAAGGCATATATATGCTGATGCATATGACATAACTAGGATTCTGTGTTTTCGGAGTTAATTTTTCGCTGAAAGTTTGGGTTTGATCGGAGTTTAGTTTTGTCCGATTCCCAATACTTAATTAATTTTCCGGTCGCGCACCAGTCACCTAGCTGTGTTTGGAGATTTCTGCTTGTCCTTTGTGCCTCTTTTTCCCCTTCTCCAGGAATTATTTTCGCCATTCTTGCCCAGCTCGCTTGCACCTTTGCATGCAATTGCATTGTAATCGTCCTTAGGTTTTCAAAAATGCAAAAAAAAAAAAAAATAGACAATTTCCGGGTACCTTGACCCGTAGTCCTGAAGTCCTGAAGTAACCTCGACGTGCTAAAAGGCAAACACATTTTTTCAGTAGTTCTAGATTTCAAAGAATACTATATTGTTATCCACTCAGACCCGGTGACCCAGTGCTTTTTCAAAGTTCATTTGTAAAACAACGTCTTTTTTTTTTCTTGTCTTTCTTGCGAAAATTCCGAGTTTTCCAAATAAATTCGAATCTACAGTATATTTTCCTGCGAGTGTTGTTCCAACTTTTTTCGGATTCATCAGAAAAGACGGAACCCTAGGCATAACATAGATACTAATTACAGCACTTTCTTCATCTGAGAATTATGCAGAAGCCACGGTCAACTTGCAGGGAAGATGTAGTTGACCCTGACCTTAAGAGGACAACCTCTCTATACGGGCTGTTTCTGTCTCACTTCGTGCGTAAATTTAATTCCGGTGTTTTTTCTTCAGTCTGACGGCTTGGCTCCTCAGATATTTCGCTCGTTCGTCTATATGGCATCACATTCGAGGGTTTTCTCCCGCAAAGGGAGCCGCGCGAGTCCCGTGTATCGTTCAGCGAAATGCAGAGAACCCCGGCGGGGAGCCGTTACCTCCGGGCCCGTTGACCCGGTACTCGCACTCGGAGACGCCCAGCGTGTTGTTCGGCTGGCACAGGTAGAGGCCGTAGTAGTCCGGCACCGCCGAGTCCGGCACCGTGTAGATACTGCGCAGTCCCTCCGTGTAGATGTGCTCTTCGAGCGTTTCGTTGCCCAGCATCCAGGTGATGTTGACCTGGGCCGGGTTGGCGTTCACCTCGCAGATGATGGTCAACTGGCCCTCTTCGTTCTTGCTCGTGTACAGCACGCACGACGGGGGGTCTGAAAGCACGATAAATGAAACGTAAATTTACAAAGGAAGGGCTTTAGGGTATATTTTCTCCTCATCCTAATAAGTAGGCATTTTCTAGATAAACGCCAGCGGTGAGAGCAGAGCCTCCTCTATACTCGCAAATTCTGGCTGTTCGACGACGGAGCCATAGAGTGTGTCCGGTCGTAGATTCGAAGCGCGAGGACCTGGTACCACAAGGCATCAAAGAGCCATTTCTCGAGGAACCTGGACGTCAGCACATAGCTTTTCCAGCGGCGAGGAACCGAAACACACTTGTTCGCTCGAAAAAAGTGTGTTTCGGCGTCTCGCCGCAGCGGGGCGCCAGTCACGTGGCTCTCCTCGCATCCGTTGTCTGCCGCTCCGCCTTTTCCACTTCGGCGACCGCTTCTCGTGGCGATACGCCAGGCTTCGTCAGTATATACGATGCTATGGTTAGGGTAACCCAAGTTCGAGATGTAGATATATAAATATCTATGTTTTATTCCTCAAAAAAGAAGAGCAATCTACTTTCTTATATCCATCGAATTTGTTTCCTACTTTTTTAATGCACCAGTCTAATGCTTTCAAATGTTCGTTCACGCTCGCACCCTGAAAACGTCTAGAGCAGGAAGCAATGAAAAGGAAAGAAGGCTCACAGATGACGTCGATGTAGGCGTTGACGGAGGCCGAGCCGTGCCTGTTGCTGGCCACGCAGGTGTAGTTGCCGCTCCTTTCTCGAGCCAGGCTGTAGTTCATGACGAGCATCGGGCTGTCCGAGATCACCTGGTCGTTGTACATCCACATGTACTTGCTGGCCGGCTTGGAGCTGGCGCTGCACGAGATCTGATCCGGCACGTTGCCCTCGAAGACCTTCAGGTGCCCGATGGACACCTCAATGTCTTCCGGGGGATCTGCTCAAGAAACGCGTAAGAACACAATTAGTTGCGCACGTAAAACTTGCGTCAGTTTTTTTCTCTTTATTTTGGAATGTACAATATGCTATTTGAATGAAGCTCGATAATTTAATACTCGAAAATAAAAAAAACGCGTTTTTATATCCTCCCCATAATTACACGTACATGCGCCCAAACATAAAAACCTTAAAAATACAGCGTACAGGCATCACGTAATTATAATAAAAACAGCGTTCGACACGCTGAATCCGTAAGCAAAACAAATAAATTATTGTAAAATATCAACGCACGTAAACATGGGCAGAAAAAATTAATGAAAACATATTTGATCACTATAAATGAAAAAAAAATATATATATAATTATGATTAAACAAAGGGGTATGATAAAATAAACTAAAGATTTAAAAAAAAAACTAGGCATGTGATACGGCTATGTGGAACCCAGCTCATGCGAAATAAAACAAATCCTGATTCCTGACTGTTCAGGTACCAAGAAAATAAAAATATTTCTGTGCGCTTGTTGGTGCGCTTGGAAGCCTGAGCTTTGCGAGTTCGAAAATCATGTCAGTCAATGATGTCAACAAAGCATTTTCGCAAGAATAACACTAATGATTTGTGTCATGTTCGTGTAAGCTTCATATTTTTGTGTGGCTTGTCACACGGGCATTTCTTGACAAATATACCTGATTAAAAAAGCTAGACCTTCAAGAATTGCCGGCTTGGACGCCATTACAAACTATAGGTACGTATTCGGAGTAAAAACTTAAATAAAAATCCTAAAATGGCTTGAAATTTCCGTTAACAGTAAGAGGAAGTACAAACAGGATCCGACTAGACGACAAAGGAAAACGAGTGTACAAACTAACGCTAAGGACATGTGAAAGGCATATCTTTCTATGGAACACTCCGCAGAGTACTACGCTTAGTCGCAGATGTTATTAGTTCGAAATTATTATTATTAGTGAGTATTAGTATTAGTATATGAGTATCAGCTTGCACCATGCATTCCGGCCTAAAAACGTTTAAACGTTTCGTTTAAACAAACTTCAAAATCCGAACAAGGCTTGAAAGCGGTGTTGGCCAAGACGCGTCACAATTAATGGCGTTACCTTTCGTAACGCAATAACCTACTTCGCGCATTTCCAAAACTTTAACGGTTAACGTACTTGCGCTACTTATTTTGAGCAATGGGTATCGTATTTACGTTACTCGTTCCATGGAGGAATAAAGTCATGAATTCTTACACTCACTCACATACATAAAAAAGATGTGCTTTGCTTTCCCAGGTAGAACCGTAAAAACGATAAAGCAGTGATAGCATGAAGCTCAGCAAGTTCGTTATTCATGATTGTGAGAAATGCCAGCCGAACGAAGGTAGAAATATACGAGACAGAGAGAGACCAAAGGAACATACACATGGACTCCTCTGGGCAAACAGCCATTTACTGAATACCATCTTTTTCTTCGTCGACTTTCATATAATGGCTAACTTGTTGTCTTTCGTCGACTTTAATTATTGTTAGGATGAAATAAATCTCCCTCGTCTTTATCACTTCAGCTTGAAAAACCTTGCATCCCCAGAGGTAGCATCTTCTGTGGGCTCATTCAGGCTAAAACAATTAAGTTGTGTGTATGTTTACACAGCCTAGAACTTGGTTTGCCTAAACGGGCGACGAGTCTGCTAGCTGTAGATGAGAACTTTAGCCAGTGCAGTACAACCGCTAGCCTGGGGTCTTTAACGTGCATCACGCAGTAGTGATACACGAGCGCACACCGGTGCGATGCTCATCCAGATCGAAGAGGGCAGGGGTGGCATTGAACTCAGGATCCTGGGTCCTGCAGCGCGAGCTTTCGCTCCACGTGCTCCGAGCTGGTGTGCGCTAGATCATTCGTCCACCGATCCCCCCTTCATTCAGGCTATTTTACACATGGGGCGTTTCTTGCAAATACTTCTTTGCTTTTGTATGTAGCACAATGGAGGCAGTGCTTACATACTGGTCCTTCCTCTCCTCAATAGCTAAGGATTCTAGAATTGCCCTTGCGACTCGTTTTTCTCACAAGACACATCTTACAATTTCTCGCAAGCAAAATAACGCAATTACGTCAAGTTTTTTTATGGGCATATTATCTGTTGTTTGACCACAAGGCCAAACAAGAGAAAAACGTTTCAATTCGTAAATAAAAACTGATGCAACAGTAAAGTGCGTTCCTTTTAATCGTTAGCAGTACCGACATTTTTGACAAAAGCGCCACAAGATGGGGACAGAAAGTAATAGACACGACAGAAGCGATATAACAACTTGACCATATTTCACTATTGGCGGTACAGGTAACGCTTTCCTTTTGTTTCAAAGAAACGTATGTATTTAACGCGCATTCCCTTCATTTGGAAGTAAAGCGCCATTGTTTTTTTTTTTGTTAACGCTAACTACATTGTTTGAAAGCACTGGAATAACATTTTTTTTTTATTATTCTAAAGCACTCCCTCGAACAATAGTCGGGTGATAAAAGCGCTAAGCCTTTTATCTGAACGTGAACCTGGGCCTGGGTCCGTTTGTTCGTGACTTAGAAATGAACTGCGCGGAGGAGTCAAGAAAAGTCTGCGAGCTCACTTTCCTGCCGAAAACGGAGACAGCCAAACACGGCCAACGATGGGAGGATCCTAGCAAACAACAAAGGGCGGAATACTATTGGGTCTGAAAAATACGATGTACGCGGAAACAATGTGCTTGACGTCTCACTTGCTCGCTGATCCTGCCCACATCGAATGCTTCGGGTGTAATGATATGATCTTCGTCGTTCGTTGGGGTCCTTGAATAATTCGCCGTGATCGGCTCTCTCCGTGTTTTGTAGGAAAGCGAATTCAAAGTCTTTTACAGAGGTACTCGTTATTGGTGACATATCGCAGCGGATCCCAGTGCGTGTTTCGTTAAATGGATACTGCAACCGAATTCATGGGCCTATTCTTTTGTATGAATGACAACGGCGTTCTGGCCGCACCACCGATATACAATTTTTTGTTCGAGAAGACACTAAACAATTACTTCAAAGGAATAAACCGAATGTCATTACGCCCTTCTGTCCTTAAAAACGGCGCCGCTGCGCGGAAGTACATTGGCAAGCAGCCTGCGCCCGAGCCCCTTCGAACCGGGTTTCCCCTCCCTCACAGTCTAAACAAATCCTGCGGGGTAGAGGGGGGAAACTAAAACGGCCAGGGTGTAACGCCTTGACGGCCCCAAGTGGCGGAGCTCATAACCACGTCAGCCACCAAGCAGCTTTGCCCGTTCTGGACCAAGTGATGTCACGCCTCCCGTTGTGCATCGCGCTCGCCGATGGCTGACCTTCGAGCGCTCGATGGAATTGGTGCTTTGGAACAAAAATATAGACGCTTTGCATCAGCAGCTGTGCATGGATTCCGCCATAACCGACCTTCAGTTTGTGTTTCCTTTTTCTCCGTTTTATTAAGTTTATCACAAAAACAGCAGGACAGGTAATTGCCATTCTAGATTATACTCTGTGGTTCTCCCTCGCATTAGACTATGCGGAGGCATGTCGACGCCCGCTTCAGTTGATCGGCATTTCTGTAAGATAAGAAAAGGTCACCAATGGCAGCTGTAATGTGGCGCCTATGCAAAACGGCTGTAGCCGTCCGTTCAAAACGCAAATGTGCGATTGACATTAGCAGATAGAGGTGATCGTGTTTAACCTATTTCTGAACGTGAAAGTTATATTTTAAGTTTCAATTCAATATCAATTCAATTTCTGGAATGACGTTACAGTGCCAAGAGACGTCGCAGTTTCATAACACTTTAAGTTACTTCAGGTCAAAATGTCACCTAATGTCATAAAACATGTTTTTAAATTAAATTTAGCTAGAACCTTTATAGCCTCTAAGTTCGGAGGCGATATTTGCAATCTCCCCTGACGTCACGCGACCCCATAACTTCATGCCACATCACGTGACATCATGACGTAATTTCGAGCCGTGACGTCATGTTTTACGTACAATGTGATCGTGAGCAGTCTGTGTGTAGCAGCCCGTGTGTCGCCTCCACTGTCGCCGCAGTATACCAGTTCGCAAAAAATATAACTCACGGACAATCTTAAGAGAGTGTACAGGTAGAGCGGAGGACTTACACTCGACCTCGAAGTGCGTGGTGGACGAGATGCCGCGCCCGACCAGGTTCCCGCTGGAACGGCAGGTGAAGGTGGTGTTGTCCATGTTGCGGTCGAGCACGCCTCCGGGCCACAGGGACATGTTGAACTTGAGCGTGCTCACGACGGACGCGAAGTGGTTCCTGGCCGGCTCCTCCGGGTGTGGTGTCGTCTGGATGCCGAACTGCGGGTTGTAGTCGATGTTGTCGCCCGCGCGGAGCCACTCGATCACGCAGGCGGGCTCGCATTCCACGCGGCACCACAGGCTCACGTCCGTCGAGTTCTGCAGGGCTCCGTGCACCGCAGGCAGGCGGTCGATGAACGAAGGCGGAGCTGCACGGAAGGCCGCCACTCCTTTGCTATCCTGTCTAGTTTACACAGCCGTCTATTATACTCTAAAACTCCTATACCAACTATTAATATAGCATCTTGCGGCTGATTTCATAGAAAATGCAATGCCTTATGAAAAAGTACAATGTTAATGTCCATGTATTAAAATGGGGAATTGGTTACATAAATATTTCGGAACAGCATTAGTGCCGTGATGTAGGCGAGTTGGTTCATGGTAACAGAAATAAACAGCGCGCAAAAAAATAAACAAGGACGAAAGGAAGGTGCGAACGACACAAGCTCCGTTTCCGTTCGGAACAGCATTATAGTTGAACTGGTTTTTTTTTTTTTTTTTTTTTTCAATGGGGGGATTTGCAGTACTGTGATAACCAGGAGTTTTTTTTTTTCGGTTCAGCGCAACAACTAGAACGCCATAGTAAGATTTGTGGCGCAGGCTAGCTGGTGAGCCTTCATACTTACAAAAAACCCGAGACAAGGAAACAAAAACGAGACAAGAGACTTTGTTGTGTTTGTCCCTTCTTTTCCGCTTGTCTCAGGGTGTTTTTTTTTTTTTTTTTTTTTTTCAAATATACAAAGCAACGTCTGGTTTTATTGTCTATTATATGGCAGTCAGGGAATACGTAGGATGGGGTTTACAAAACACATATTATTTGAGTGTGAACAAGTACGCACTATATAATAAAACAAATATATACAAATATATATCAGCAAAACAACTAGAAAACACCTAATGTAATACCTGTATTTCATCGTTTCTAGGGTTGATGACGCGGATGCAAATCTGTACTCTTCCGATCTATTGCTAAAATAGCTGGAATATAAACTGAACTTGTACATGGGTAGATTTAGAAAGGCGGCAAAAATAAGCTGAAGAATTTTCTCAACACATATTTGTAAATTAGGCAGATATAGCCCGAAGCTGCATGACAGAAATATTGCATCAACATCAATGTAAGAGCCTAGGTAGTTCCAAGCTATGTGCTAAGTCCTGAGACGTGGGGCAAGATAACACTCATTTATTGCTTGGTCTGAACGGTGAAACCGTAAACAGCCTTAAAAAAATATATCCAGTAATCTTACAGACATCTTAAATATTCATTTACTAGTAGTGATAAATAAAAGACGATCCTAAACTAAAGTGATTCTGATGTTACCATACTGATGTAGGAAGTATCTTGTCGACCCGAGTACGATTGCATCACAATAACCTTTTTTCTAAATCCGTCTTAAACGGCCTATACTGTGCATTTAGACTGTAAAACTGTGGGTTACAGTCAAAATAAATTGAAACATGAAAGTGCACCGAGGATTCGCCCAGAAATTGCATCGCTTAACTGAAATACACTTGAACCTAAAGCCACTGCAAATCAGGTGAAGCCTTGTTTATTTGAGCACCTGTGCTTGCTCAAGGTGCGCTCAATGATACCCTTTATGTAAAGTCAGAAGAACAATGTACGTGTAATATGCGTAGTGACGTTATTTCTCTCTGGGTTTTGGTGAGCGTAACAGTTCTTACATTATGTTGTAACAGTCGTGTCTGGTTAACCTGGACACCTCCGCTCCACAAAAACAAAAAAAAAAAAAAAAAAAAATCACCCACACTCAAGTTGTCTCTAGCGAGGTGGCACAAACGCCAGTAACCTCTAAAAACAAAGGTATCACCTTACACCCTTTTGTCCCATATAATGCACCCCAAAACTTCAATTCGACGTACAGCGCACGATGGTCGAAGAGACGGGGCCACATTTAACCAGGGGCTTGATAACGGTGCGAGATAACTTATTAAATAGCTAAAACACGTATCAAAAACCGCAGAAAGAAAACACTGAGCGTTTGCCGTAGGGCCAAGAAACAGATTATTATTTTTTTTTGCAGTCAGTAAGACGTACATTAGCTATTTTAATAAGTTGTACCACACGGCTATCAAGCCCCTCGTGAAAGTTAGTGCCGCCAGATCGGCGTCAGTGCGATGTACGTGCAACTTCAGTTTTGGGTGTTTTATGGGCAGTATATACAGCGCCAAAAAACGACAGGACAAAGACGAGAGTAAACAGGACGAGGCGCTCCTCGTCCTGTTTACTCTCGTCTTCGTCCTGTCGTTTTTTGGCGCTGTATATACTGATCATAAACCAACTAGCCCAAATTTATACTTTGCTGTATTTTATGGGACAAAGGGTGTAATAATGCACCTTTTTTTTTTTTTTCTGAGAGTGTGTTTCCTAGTTTGCTCCCAGAAGTGTTGTCCGTACAGCGGGGTAGCCTAATTAACGGGGTCCACATTAACGTATGTTCTAATGTATGTTCTGCGACAACTATAATACGAACGAGTATTTGCACAAATAAAGCCACACTTTCCCACACTATATGCGCGGCAACCGTTCAGTGCAACGATGCGAAGCCAAAGGCGCCGAGGGCTCACCGAGGACGGGCAGCTCGTAGTCCCCGCTTGGTCCGGCGCCCACGTCGTTGACCGCGGCGCATGAGTACTTGCCGCGGGACGTGAGGCTCCCGGGCTCGGTCTCGAGGGTGGGCCCCGTGGCCGTGGCAATAAGGGCGCCCTCGAACTCCCAGCGGTAGTGGGTGGCCGAAGGCAGGCCTGGGTCCTCCACGGCGCAGCTTAGCGTCGTCGACTTGCCCTTCACGGCGTACTCGCTCGCGTGCACCACGCTCGCGGGGCCGGGAGGATCTGCAGCGGAAGACAAGTCGAGATTGACCACGGCGCTTAACTATGCAGCGCGAAAGGAGATACTTTTCCTAAAACTTAAATATGCCGAAGACAAGCTAACAAGCGAAGAGCGTGTCGAGCCTCTATATCTCTACATTGCTCCGCAACCAATGAGTTTGAGGCATTCGTCGATAAGGGCACTGAAGACCTAATCACGGAGCAAGGAGTATGAACCTAATAACCAGTGCCCAGCGTTTTTTTTTAAGTTGTCACTGGCTATTTCATAAGACCGCTGTGCCACGAGAAAGTTAATGTCATCTCCATTAGATAACATTTGAGCTATTGCCCAGTCAGCGCGTGGCACCCCTGGCGCAGCGCGTCTCAAACTCCACTCTCGTATTCAGAATGGCGGGCCGATTCGACGATCACACGAAGGTCCTTCGACGAAAAATATTCAACATGACGATACATCAGTCACTGATTTGAGTAGTGTGCAATTGTTCGACATCGTGGAACAATTGCACACTACTATAAGTGATATATATGCATGATTCCGTCGAAACTCGGCTACCATGGGGCAGTCGGAGAACCCTCTAATGCTACAACCTGAATATCATATTGCATTAAAATCGTTAAAACCGATACTGCCGTCAACAGTACGGTGGACATCAGCTTTAATATCGCTAAGTAGATGTGTGGTTACAGCAGCCTAATACCGACAGTGCACTGACAGCCGCCATGCTCTGGCTATTACATGGCAACCCAAGGGGTTGGCAGTCCCTCGGTCAGAACAATTCGAAAGAGACCGGGAAAATATTATATGAAGAGGAACTGAGAGAGATAAGAAAAGTAGAGCGTGCGGAAAAGTAAGAGGGTATAACTTTGCTTTTACGCTCTTAAAAGCCAAGGCAAACGCAGAGGCTCGCAGCCTTTGTCTTTACCCAATGTCTCGCTCAAAGCAGGGCAAACAGAGCTACGTGTGCACCTCGGGTCACTGTCCTTCCAAATAAAGCTAGGTGCTGCACTTTGAAACTCGTTATAAACTTTCTATTCCTTGTTTTATTTCCGTGTAACCTTCATTGTTAGCTCCGTCCCGTGGTTTTAAAGCTGCCAATAACTCGAACACCCCTGTTTTAGGGGAACGTGAAAAGCCTTTAGAATGAACTTCTTTAAAGAATCCGCGAACCAGCTCACGATCTAGACACTATGCACACCGATAGCCGCCCGCTGGTTTCACGAATATTTATAACGTTAAATTACTTCATTCTGAAAAGTCTTTAGTTGTCTGGAAAATAAAAGTGGCAATCAAAACATCGTCCGAGGTTAAACTAAAGGTAACAAATGTTTCAGAAAGGCGGTGATGATTTATGAATTTGTATTTCAAGGCTCAGCATTCGTAAAGACGATGGATATTCTAGTTGTCATCTATGGGCTATTATCTTCATTAATATCAATCTGGCTAAATATTATTACCGCCTAAACGAGTATCTTTGTCACGAAACCATTAGAGTGCACTGCTTTCCTGATGGGAGAAACGCAGTCTTCCTTTTTCAAGAGAGGGGAACATTAGGGGCAGCGGGTGTGGGGACTCACAAAAGACGGCCAGCTCCTGCGTGTCCGAGACGGGTCCCCAGCCGGCGTCGTTCTCGCCCTGGCAGGAGTAGTTGCCCGTGAAGTTCCTCATGACGTCCATCCAGACGATGACGCGCTCGGTGGTCTCATTGAGGAGCTCCCCGTCCCGGTGCCAGCGCACGCGGCGCAGGCTGCCCGGGTTCCCCTCCAGCACGTTACACGACAGCGTCACCCGGGTGCCGTAGCCCTCCTCCAGGAACGGGGGGCTCACTACGGCCGACACCGTCGGGGAGTCTGGAATCGGGTTGACAGGGTATCTCTATTTCATTAACCGTTCAAAATGTCTCGTGTGAAAACTAAATTCACCATACATCGCCTCCTATGATAGCGAGGATCTTGTGCTCAATTTTCTAGGTCGCCTGCAGGAAGACAACACAGGAAATCGACTGGACACGAGTGCTTTTTTATCGTTCTGTTGTGAATCTTCTTTTCTCAGTGAAAACGCGATTCTTAGCCGGAATTCGTGTTCTATCAATGCCCTACTATGGCCTGGGGTAGGTGGCGCTAAGAAAACTGCACTACGGCCTGACTATGTGTGTGTACGCGGTGTAGGTGCAAAGTGTGGGGGGGGGGGGGGTAATTGAGAGTCAATCGTGTATGCGCATACGGCGCTTTTGTCACGGACTCCGGCCTGACCGTGTAGGAGGTATTGCATACAAGCGCATCTGATTACGATGCAAAGACGGTCGTAACCTCTACGAAACGTAAGAATCCTTAACCCTATCGTCAGTCGTGATAGGACCTTAAGCTTGGTTATTGCTTTCGTCACGACGTACTTCGTAAGACGCGATTTATAAACCCGCAGAGTAACTTGATGGAGAAAAAAAGACGCGTCATTGCAATTTGTGAGCGCGAAGAAGGATGCGGCAAATTAACGATTTGTTTCTGCTTATGTTCGAACGCAGCCGACGCTACGAGGGCCAATCAAACAGTGTCTAAAGCGCAAGTCATCGGGCCTTTTTGTTTCATGCTGAATTCGGGCGGCCCCCTCTAATTAGCCGCCTCTCTCCTCTGACCTTGATTCAACCGAGCGCCCCCTCCTCGCCGCCAGGGCTACTCGAGGTCCTTTTCAACCGATCCCAACTCGGGAGCTCGGAGCGTTCCGACATTCCCGAACCAGCGACGGAAGTAAACCTTCTTGACATTGCTAATGTGTAAAAAAGACATTTTACGAACGACGCTGGAGGATGGAGCAACATTTACGCTCGCAACGTGATGCTATAACGTCTGTGATGAACTATAAACTATTCCACGCATCAGCACGTAAATAAAAAAAATACCAATTCGCGAATTGGTTTTTGCACAACGGAGCGGAAGGCAATGTTTGAAGAGACTAATCAACTCATCCAATTTTCGACATTGAACGCGCTGCGATGGAGGTGATCCTTACGGCAGAACAGGTAAATATCAAATGGCTAAAAAACCGCCTTCTATTGAGGCGGAATATCGTGCAAGCATCACACAAAGAACATAGCATGTATCACCATGTAACACAAATTACGGTGCCTTATAGCTGGCTCTTTCTGCATTTAACAACACAAACTTTTGAACGCACTTTTATCAAACCTGGAAATTCCTAGAAGCGGCAACAAAATCCAGGTGTTACAGCGGTTTGCTTTGCGAGTTGTTTTATCATAGATTATTATTAGCGGGTTCCCTGCCTTGAGATGAACGATATTGTAAAAGCACTGACAACACTTCCCACGTCGAGTTTTCCTTCCACGGTCACAAGCGAATGTCGCTCCGTCCGTTGTAATCCTCGCACCATCGAACGCACAAGCCCTTTTAGAACCAGAGATTCATCGCCATCATGCCAAATCCCGCACACCACCACAGACCACTGCCGGCCATCTTCACCGAAACCACGGGATCCCCGTCCAAAGTAGCGCCTGTACCGCACCGCTCACCGACGGCTGGAGACGGAGTGCCAGGGCGCGCTCTGAGAGGGGGGAGCGGCCTCGGAAAGAGCAGGTTGATCAGGCCACCGCACTCCCTTTCCACCACTATATCTCGCACGCTGTTTAAAGAGTATTCGAGAGCGCGCGGAAAGAAGCACGCGAAGTCGCCACATCATTGATTCAGTGATAACAGAATACGCTCTAAAACATGACAAACACAATGATGTTTTTAACGTTGTCCGATTGGTCCCCTCAGCTCGCAGCTGAGGGGACCAATCGGTCAGTGCAAATTTAAGTCCAGACACAGCATGTGTCTCAGCTTAAGGGGGCATTGACAGGTTCGGTTAAACTCGTATGTTGTATTGTTATCCGAAACGATCGGATAACAATACATTACCCTCAAAATGTGTCACTTAAGAACTCATTATTTGTGGTAAAAAAAAATTCAAAAATCATAATTTGAAGTTTCCGCGTTTTCCGCGCCAGTTCAATGACGTCAAAGATTGAGTCGTCCTGCAACTCCAGTTTCTCTCACGCCTCTGAACCCTCCCCACCGGAAGTGTCGTGTACGGCCGCGTTCCGCGATCTATACCACTCTCCTCCGTGTGTGCCGCCTATGGATGAGAGCAGGAGACGCTTCACAATCTAGTTCGAAGTTCTTCTAGGGCCCTTTCAGCGACCGCAATTTCTTTGAAACGGTGTGAAAGGCTGCCCCGGAGGAGTCACAGCCGATGCTACCGTATACATAACCCCAAACCCTGTTGTTTTGACCGTTTGACGATTTTCTTTTTGAAGTCTGAAAGATCCTCGAACACCTAAAAAGAGAGAGCTTTGTCCGAATCCCCGACTCGCTGATCATTCTCAGTGCTACATGTGCCGGGCGCCCGGATGATTTCTGAGGGAGGATAAAAAGCCAGGAGGCGACATCACTCCGGAATCCGATTTTCGGTATTTCAAAAATAAGCGGTGCAGAGCGGTCGCAATTGCGTTAAAAACATGTTTTAGGAAAGTTCGAATTAAATACTATAGAAATTTCGCTGACAAGGTTCGCGCACACAACCAGTGAAGCGAACATGTGTGGGTCGACTATTAAGGATTAGCCAAACCTAATCTGTTCGTGCAAGATTTCTGACCAACTAGGCAACCAAGCTAAAACAGAGTGATAGAACTGCCATAAAGAAAAGGTGAGAAAAGACAAAAACAGAATCAGACTGAGTTTACAACCTGTAATCAAGAAGACGTCAGAAAGAAATTTCTATGTATACTAATCCTACGAAAATCATGTCGGGAGACACAGAGTGTGCAGCGTATTTTGAGCTCCTTCAATCATTGGGGAGACCAATATTCTGTGTATGTATCCAATGCAATCATTCTAAACAAGGCAGCTCCAATAGCGAAGGAAACAGGGTATATACTAACTGCGAGACAAGTCAGCGGTTTCATGCCCGGCGAGAGACGTAGTATTTCCAACAACAACAACAAAAAAATTGTCCGTGGTGCCTTTTTTTGTAGTAACATTTCTTGACGCTCTAAGTTTTAAACTCATCCCTGAAACACATTCTTCGGTAAAAGTGCCGGTCGTTGCAGCGCAGACGTCAATTAGTCAGAGGGATTTAAACAAAGTAATATTACCCCCCTCGATCGAGCGAGACACGAGCTTCCAACGCTACCACAAAAATAAAGGGGGAAATTCATACTTGAGAAATGCTTAGGTTAACCGGAGCTGTTTTAACTTGTCAGCGGAAGCAAAAGTCCATCTCACATGCACAGGCGAGACGTTTCACCAAACCGAAGAAAAAGAATCATGTACTTCTGTACGCGACACCTAAATTGGGCCTGGCGATGAGAGTTTAGTTTCATTAAAACTTTCGCAAACTTCCAGACTTCGGGCCCCCGACGACAAACGTTAATGGCGGTCTCGCTAGGCGGCGTGACTCGCCGATCGACAGCAACACGCACGGTAAAGAAGGAACGCAACGCCCGCCGACAGCGGACAGCAAAAAGAACCCTTCGGTTTCGTCACGGATGCGCGCCCACTTTCTCTCTTCCAGCCTTTCGCCAATGTTCGCAGCGAAAGCGGCCCAAAGCGCTCCGAGCTCGCTCATTAATCACATTATTAGATTAGCCGGAGTAAATTCATTCGTTTCCGCGCCAGCGTGTTTCCGTACATCTCCGCGCTCGCGTGCTTGCTTGCCTGGTTATTCCGTGTTGGCCGGCACGGCGCCGCAGTTCTATCGACGTGTCGGCGTATTTGCGCCGGGACCCCCCAAATAATCAAGCTGCGCATCACCAGTCGTCGAACCTTCGAGGCCATTTTCACGCCGCGCTTTTTTGTCATTTATATATATGCTTCTAAATGTACCTCCTCTGGTTTTAGCGTTCGTATCGACGCCGCTAGTTTTCACTCGCTCCCGTGCCGATGGGAAACTGTCGGGTAAAGTTGTGCTAATGGAAAGATAAAATTATACAACAAAAGATACCTACGTGAATCAGAAAGGAGTAAGTTTTGTTGCTGTGAAATATGAACACGCAAAAGTAGAAACGGGCCAGGTACGGTTTGCCAAGCGCTAGATGTTCTGGTGGCGTTCTTCTATGATTCCCGCCTGTGACGTCGCGTCCAGGGTTATCAGCTGCGGGCAACTATACTCCGTTTTAGACTAAATCCGTCCGGAGCCGACAACACGATCCGATGGAATCGACTGAGCAGCATGAACCATAGAGTTATTATAATGTACGCTAGAGGTTCAACTGGCGCTAGTGCGCTGCTGCAAATCGAAGCAGACAGCAACCAGTCCGAAATTGACTTCCGGTAATGCATTGCTATGGGGAAAAGCGGGTGCATTTTCTCTCTGCGCTCGATTATAAGAGCAAATATCACGAATAATTCGTACGTACTAGGTAGCTTGGAACTTTTCTCAGTCACGCAGACGAAATAATTGGTCAGTTACAGCGTTTTCATTTGAAATTCGTGGCACGAAAAACGATGCTAAAACCGCTTCGTACGTGTATTTATGTGCACTGTCGGACACTGTTAGCGCGAACACGGCGTCGGCACTTTTCAACATGAGGGACATACGTGCCAAACGAGCGAAGGACATGTGGGAAACCAAGAGAGACGGCAAGAACTACACAGTAACACTGGATAAGTAACTCTTTGTGCATGCAGACGATCAAATAAATTGAAAGTCACGTACTATAGTCAGATTTGTAATAAATAAGTACTGCTTTCTTCTTTCTGCTCATGAATATGTGCAAAGATGCATGTTCTGGGTTCAAATCATCACCCGCAGGCTCCAGATCTTTGCGAATGGGGAGAAGCCAGAGAACAGGTGCCCG